CAGGGGCATACACTCGATGCTTCACAGTCGTCGGGATTTCGTGACGGCGCCACGAATGTCTCAAGTTAGCAAATGCCCCCCTAGCCCCTTGTACGCTCGCCGACATCTCATCTGTGATGCGTCCGCCATTTGAGATGTAGCTGCCTAGATGTCAAGATTTATCCACTTCCTCTTTTACTTCCCCAGTCAGAGTGAGATTGGGGGCTTGGCCATCCTTGTAAGATTTTACACTTTGAAGGTGCAATACGCACACGTAATTTGGATACACTAGCGCTCAAAGTATCCAGAAGAGCTTTCAGCTTCCCTGGAACCTGTTTGAATAACGTTGTCTAATGAGAAATATATTCCCCATTTAGTGGTCATGAGAACACAAGTCAGCAGACAAGCTTGTTTTCAGTGCAACAATAACTGACTTTTATGGATGAACGACTCAGGGTATCCACTCTAAAGAAAAAACGTTTTGCATTTCAGTTAAAACTTGATTTAGTTCGATGAACAAGGTGAGCAACAAATCTGGTTTTTCTTTTACTGTATTGAGACGAAACATGGATAGTAAATGTACTGTCCCGTCCATGTTTGATAAATGATTCTACGAATGCAGCCACCTGGAAGTCGCAACAGGAACAACACATCTAGAAATGTGATACTATGCGTGGATTCCTCTTTCAACGAGAACTCCGTTTCCGAATGAGCTCCATTGATGTTCTTCAACAGAATGTCGGCATCCTTATCAGCATCGCACGGACATACTTTGTCATCCACATACCGTATATAAAAGGTGGATTCAATGGTTTTCGAGGGTATTCTGGCACGGTCCACTTAACTGAGTCTAATCACATGCTTCAGGCTTCCTGTCCTGGCTATAGCTTCAAGTGCAAGTTATCCAACGAGGTCGTGTCGAATTTTGTCAGCAGCTGAGACGATGGCTATCCTTCTGCACACAAACACACAGTCTTACCATGGTCATCCGACTACAATCTCCATTTCTATATCTCTTCAGACAGTCTTTGTATAAATTCTAATTTCCTTTGCAGAAATGTTTCTCCTCTCATCATTTGTTTTATCTATTATAAATTTTGCTGTATGCAGCCAGTTGTTGTAGTACCGAAAACAAGCTTTTTGCTGACGTCACCTGAGACACCGTGATTCAATCATAGTGATGTATACATATATATATTTCGCACACATCTGTCAAAAAATCACAATACAATGATCTTTATAAAAAAGAAAAAAGTTCTATGATTTGCCAACGGGCGTGCTAATTTCAGGTTACCCAGGCCAAGGCAAATAAGTTTTCTTGAGGAATCCACAACCGGAGCCTTCCATCACCGAAAACCGTAATGTTGAGGGGTCTGCATAAAATATTCCCTTTGTACGTCCTTTTGTTCAGGGTGGTGGTAGCGCAGTGGTTTAGTCGCTATCAGCGGCGTGCTTTTAACCTCGTGGTCCGAGGTTTGAGCCCCACTACCGCCACCCGACTTTGGCGGTAGGCAGCTCTGCTGTCATCCGGTTCGCTACCACGCCTAACCTATCGGGGCTTTATGTAGTTCGCCACTCCAAGTCCCGGGGCTTAGGTTGCTGGTTTCCACCACTGAACAGCAGATCTTCGTGACTATGGGGCTTGCTCCGTCTGCTGTTCATCACACCTAGATGTGTAATAAAAAAGCGATAAACATCCATCGAATTACATTATCAGTTAACGTTGGGATTCAAAATTCAGGTGTGCTTATTGTTCTGTGCACAATTATGGATTTTGGCGGCGTAATAAGTCCGGTCGATAACCGTTAGGATAAATTGGTCGCGTCCTCACCGTTGGATGGAAGACAAGCCGTAACCTCCAATCTAGGGGTTGACACAAAACCTGGCTTTTCAGTCTCAAGTTTGCTTTGCTGCCTTTCAATCAATTCCCAGGAAGATAACCATTTGCTATCGGTGTATTGTAATACATCACTAGGCCGTCTCCTTCGATATGGTTTCGTCAGAGCAAATCGATCGGGCTCTGTCGAATAGGATTGCTAAAATATAATATGGGACTATAAGTAGACAAATGTCAGCAAAATCTAATTACTCTTCTTCATTTAAAAACTTGAAGGTTATAGGTGAGAGAGAAACGGAACGACGGAGAGTATGTTGCCATTATGCTGTTCTAAAAGAAACGATGATTGAAAGAAGACCTGCAGTACTTGGAAACATACGCTCGATATACGTATCTGGTAACTTGGACCCTGGCTGGCTTGGTGAATTGAAACTACTGATAACTGTGACAACTTTGAATTGACATATTTGGACTGGGGTTCACCAGAAGTAATGTGTAAATTTATGCCGAAAATAGCTTCCAAACACTACCAAACCGTTTCCTCGGAGCTCACGTGTTTCGCATTATTCCGCGTACCATCTTAAGTTAACCATGGTTTACTTTTTCCTTGATGTATGTATGCTTTTTAGTTCTCCATTCTTCTAATGAGTTTATTTCTTTTGTTATATGGATTTGCTTTTAGCTTGAAGGTCTGTCCGCGGAACGTCGTGTCAAGGTAGAGCAACTGATTAGTCAAGGCGTCCCACAGGCGCGAGCAATTCAAGAACTAGAATCTCACGACTGGGATGTACAGGCTGCTCTTGTTTCCTTCATGTCCAGTGATGATGCACCGGAATGATGCAGGCCCTATCCTACCCTAGTCGTACACGGATCTCTCTATTTGTGAACTGCCTTCTCCCTCTCTGTGTGTTTACCCGCTCGCGGGAACCAATCAGGACCAAGCTTGTGGGCTTTCGGTTTTGCCCTTAATAACTGATTCACCAAATTTTTCTAACTTTCGTAAAGAGTTCTCGTATTTTCACTGAACTGTCGTCTTGGCCACGGACGTTTCGCGCAGTGATATTGGGTGCTCACTGAACCCCCACATCTATCCACCTCTTGCTGTTCCATTTTTATTATTAAATTCCCGAATGAAGTTACGCTTGTTCATTGTTTAGGATACTGTTATTTTTCAATTTTCCATCTTGACTGTGACCTGAACACCAGTTCTTCTGTTTTGTCCCTCACGCTCCGAACTGACTTATCTATATTCCCCAACTGAATCGTTTCTGTTCCGCATGGCAGCCTTATTCAGTCCTGCTCAACAGTTTTCGGTTCTCACATTTTTGACTCTTCATCCAGTCGATCGAAAGGTAATTATAATTACCTCATGCCTTTACTTAACCACCGTTATTTGGAGTAATAATAAAG